GGTGTACCAGATCTGCCTCCTTAGGGAACAATGACCTGCCATTCCCAAGGGAGCACTGATCCATTACTGATGTATGTTTGATCTGAAAATAGTGACTTTTACAGCAGGGTGACCACCAGGGACTCCTGATGCTCAAGGAAGAGAGAAAAGAAGGATCAGAAATGGACAGATTAAATAAATTGCTGGGTAAATAATCCCTATCACTGCTGGATCCTTTACAGCACATCTGCTAATGAAGGGAAAGTGTTTAAGGTCAGAGCTCAGAGCTGGCCTGAGCCTGAATTCTAGGAGGGAAAACCACAAATGACATGGACTGTTTGTTACCAACATATTCAGGAAACTAGAAAATTGTGCAGGAAAGGGAAGAACTGATTTGTGAAAACATCTGTCTGTGACAGACAAGGAACAGGGGGTGAAACCTCTGGTCCTCCTAAACCAACTGCTCCACCAGGGTTTGGTCAAGAGTGAAATTCAGATCCCTGAGTCGCCTTCCAATACCAAAACTGCAGCAATACCACAGACTTTTCTGAACCTTTCAACAGATATTCCCTGTAAGTCACTGGTTTATCAGTTCAGCATTGACTTGCCCTGGTCAACACAGAATAGAGAATATCCCACAAATAATTCAATTATTTGAATTATCCCTTACTCACTACAAGTAATTCAATTTACCAGCAGTGGTCAGTGCCAACCCTCAAGCAGTGAACTGCTCACAGCAGGAGGATGACATTGTATTTCACTCTGCCCACAGCAATTTAAATCAAAATCATTCAGGAAAATGAATTGTGGGTTTTGTCAAAAACATTTTTTCAACTGTCAGCAATGAAAAGAACATGCTGAAACCTGCTGCTTTCCAATCACTCCATGCACACCCCTTTCCATTACTCTCACATGTGACACTGGATGCCCCTCACTTCCAATAAAGGCAGACCCAGGCAGTGACATTCAGAGAAAATTAATTTCCTTACCTTTGAGAGACTTTCCTGAAACTTGTCCAGTTTGGTTTTAGCTTCATTGTACTTTTTCCAGTTCATACACAGTTCATACACCTCCAGGATGTGCAGTAAAGGGGAATCCTTTAAGACACAAAAACAGGTTATAATTATTTTCTAAAAGTACCTCAATAAATGCAGATTTTGTCTTCCTTAGTACCAAAACAGTAAAGCTCTAATGTATTAAAATTGCATGCAAAATTGATATATGATCTGCAAATCTGTGATACTTGGAAGAACTTCCATTCCAAGATTTTCTTCCTTGACTGGGATTTCAGTGGATAAGCCAGGTTATCCCAGAGGGGGATTTACAGGCCACCTCCTTCCCCAGATGGTTTGAGAAACACTCAAATACACCCCTAGAAACACATCCCCTCACCTTCAAAAACAGCTGGAAGCCATTTAGAAGTGTTTTACTTTTCTGCTTCCTTAAGAAGACTTCCCAGATAACTGAGAGGTCCTGCAGGTCCCACTGGTGGTTTTCTGCTGAGCTCTGGATGTGCTTTGTTGCCTCAGCTCTGGTGGCAACGTCCACAGAGGTGATGATCCAAACACAGAGGCAGGGAATGATGTCTGCATCCTGGGAATGTCAAAAATAGTGGGTTTATACATCACCTCATCAGAAATCACTTGGTGAAATGTGTCATACTATTCACAATTACTACAAAACCAGAAAAAAACAGCTTTTAATGCAACTGCACGTCTACCATTGCCCAGAACTGTGCCCAAGCCTCAGTTCTCACTGCTCATTTCTGCAGGACAGTGACTCCATGGTACTCACAGGGACACAGGCAGCCAGCACACTGAGGACAGGGGCCTGTGCCCTCAGCCCTGCAGCCAGGAGGTGCTGGCAGGGGCTGGGGCTCCCCTGGCACTGCAGCAGCACCTGGAACAGACTCTCTGCAGCTCTGCCCTGGGCCACAGCTCTGCCCTCAGGACACAGGAACTTCCCCAGGGCCAGCACCAGGTGATCTTGTAAGGGGGCAGGGAAATCCTGAAGGATGGAAATGACCTGGGAAAACACAACCAAACCCACCTCTGCAGTGAGATCCACAAAGAGGGAGGGGGAAGGAGGACTGAAGCATTAAATACACAAAGACAAATAAAACATTCTTCAAATCCAGCTTTTTAAAACATTCTTACAAATTCAGCTTTTTAGAACAATTTCAGAGACATAGTGAGGAAAAAGGTTTCTGTAATTGTGAATGATTCTAATAAAATATTGAAGTCCATCCTGTTCTGTGAAGCTAAAATGCCTCCTAGAGACACTCAGTTCTGCCATGTCTCTTGTACTGCCCACAACAGAGCATGACAAGCCTCTAGTGAGGTGCTTTTGTATGATTATCTTTCTTTTCCAGACAACAACAAAGAGATCCAAGTTAAAACCCCAGACTTCCTAAGTATCATCTTACCTGGAATTTTCCAGTTAGCTTCTGCACACTTCCTGAATTGCTTTTACGTGTTGGTAATATTTCATTAAATTTTTAAATCATGTTCAACACTAAAAATGGAAGATTTGGATTTGCAAAAGTTTAGGTATCTTAACACAAAAATCAATTTGAGTTTTGAAAGGAAAGATGAGTGGCTTTATTAAAGCTTCCACTGGACATCTCGCAATTCTCCAATAAAAGCAAAGCACTAACTAAATGATTTTAAATTAAATTTATGATCAGTACGAGCATGTAATAATTTTAACTAAATTAAAAATGAAAATTAAATCCCTTCTTGACAAACGTCCAATTCACGTCAAAGAGACACTCAAATAACTCCTCTCTGAAAATTGTCTCCACGCTGACTAATACAATCACAAATGATTTTTCTAACAAGGGTTTTTTTTTTCTCATTTTTTTCCTTTCATAGCTCACTTCCATGCTCTCAGACCCATGTTACTGGATCTGCTGGACAGGCAGTTCCCTCTGCAGCTAATTCCCTTTCCTTGTGTCAGCTTTTCACACCCCAAGAGGAGGGAAGAGCAGCAAGGCTGGGAAGTGTGGTTGCAGGAGAGAAGGGCTGTCACAGCCAGGAGGATTGACATCCAAGAGCTAAATCCCTGCAGGTGCTGAGTTTGTCTCTTGTGCAGGAGCTGTCTGACCCTCCCCTGGGCCCAGCTCACCTCCCCAGGCTGGTGGCCGTGCAGGTGGCCCTGCAGCAGGAACTGCAGCCAGTCGCCGGCCCGGGCGCACTCCCGCAGGTAGGACGTGCTCAGCCCCAGGCTGTGCACTCTGCAGAACTGCATCACCAGGGCCCACTGCCTCCTGGAGTCACTGCATGTCCTGCAGGGAATTCAGAGAGCTTCAGCTGCAATAAACTGGAGTGTTTATCCCAGGTCTTCCCGTAAAATCTGACCCTGTGTGAGACCCACTGTCTGCAAAGGGCAGCACCGGCACTCCCAGGGACTTCCCTACAGACTGGTCACACTCCCCTGTGGAGCTCCCACACTGCACCCTGAGGACATTCCCACCCACCCAGGCAGGGACACTGTCCTGTCTCGTGTCTTTAATATTATCTAATACACAAATGGCAAAATTCAATGCTCACCCAGCACAACCCTCTAAATCATGCTGTTCTCACCTCTTTATTCCCTGATGCTCAACTGCATCCCAGAAGGCTTCTTCCAAGGAGGGCAGAACTGCTGCTGCTGCTGCTTTTTCACCATCAGCCAATTTTGTTAACTTTTCAACTGTTTAAAAGAACATATTACTATTGCTGAGATGCTATTTGGGATCTGAGTAAGGGCAGTATTTTCAAAAGCACCAGTGATTTCCTAGTTGGAACAAAGACACTTGTGGACCTGGAGTGAGGAATTCAACTAAAATTATCCCTAGGATAAATTAAATTTCCCTACAGCTTGGAGCACCTGATTTCACTGCTGTAATACAGTTTTCAAACATGAAAGAGAAAAGAGATTTGGTAACAGACTTTGTTTAACTCTCTATTATATTATTACAACATTAGGTTGAACCTCACTAAACATTACAGATCCCTAGGCAGCTGTGGGACTGTCTATTAGATCCTGATGCAGCTCTGAATCCATGATTTATTATATGTTATATAAGTCTTCCTGCCTTGACATGACAGGTTCAAAATGCACTTTCAAAATTAGTAAAAAACAGGAATAAAAGAAGAACAAAATCCTTAGATGATTTTCCTGCATTCCTGAGCCATCAGTCACCATCTTCCCATCCCTCTCTGCTGCTCTTCCCAAAAAACCCACAGCACTCTGTTTCAAACCAGACAAAAGACACCCTTACCCAAAGTGTCTCTGATTTGACCATGATGAGAGTCCTCATTTCTAGTTCTGTAGCTGAAAATCATGTTTGCAACTTTAAGGTCCACCCTGAGCTTGAGGCTGTCGAGACCCAGCAGCTCCAGGAAACACACACAGGCTGCTCCTACTGCAGGGGCACCAAAGGAGGACAGGGCTAAAACATGGGCCTCCTTCCCTGCCTGCTGGATCCTGGGACAAAAGGAACACACAGCATTGTTTTGTACATTGGTTTGGAACCAATTTTCTAACAGGACTATTCCCCAAGCAAACCAGCACCTACAAGGTTTGCTGTGAAAGGTAATTACAGAGCAAAAATTTCATGTTTATAAGAAATGTAGGTATGACAACAAAGCCTTACAAAAGAGAAACTCATCTGGTCAGAAATGATGAAGAGGAACAAACAGTGACTAACACACCAACCAGACATTCCAGAAAAAGTGATTTGTTCTGATGTAACTCCTACCAATTTTGAATTTACTTCATAGTAAATTTAATACATGGAAGATGTGTAATCTGACTGTATCCTTTTGAACACCTCATTTTGAAGCTTCAGCCAGAAAATTTAATTTCATCAACCTCCAGTATATTTTTGTCTTATTAATTTAACTAAAGAAGTGTCACCCTTTGGAAATGTCAAAGAAAAGGGGCATCTTTTCCCTACAAAGGGGTCCAGGGGCTCAGGTTCCTAAAAGAAGAGCCCACCTGCGTTTGATAAAAGTGGAACATTTCCCATTCCTTGCTTTCCTTGTGCAGATTTTATTTAGGTAATTCAGAACAAAGCTCACCTCCACTCAGGTGATATTTCTGTCCTACTCAGGTGATATTTCTATCCTACTCAATGCTGGGCTGAACAGACTTTAGGACACCCAAAATTTCACCGCTCACCACTCGTTTGCTGCCGGGGAGGATTAACGTCCCCCCACGTGCTTGGCTCTGACTTCTAAAGAACTCTCTGTCAGTCTGGAGGAGACTTACAGCTGTTTGGGGGTTTTGCTCTTCACCAGCTGCTGGCCCAGGAATGTCCCAAAGGCGAAGGAGGGCCGCCCATGGTGCAGGTACCAGAGGAAGTCCAGGCGCTCCTGCACCGCGTGCCTGCGCACCAGGGCAGGGTGAGAGAAGTGGGGCAGCTCACTGGGGGCATCTAGGGAGAGCAGCAGCATCAGCATGACCTGACTAATGGTTGAATTAAACATCAAAAAATGGCTTTTAGCTACAAGACATAAGATGACAATCAAATCCCTTTCCTCTGGTCCTGGTTCAGACCTCGTCATGTCCGAATCCCACTAAATTCCACTTCTCAGGGGAAAATCAGAACTCTGGATCCCTTCTGACACCCTCAGCTTGCTTTTAAAAGGAGACATTGCTTTTCTATCTTATATTTAGAAAAAAATCTGCCTGTGAAGATCTTAATGTAACTTTTCTGGGATTTCAGTTTAAAACACAAATTTAGTAAAATTACACTATTTTTTGGTGAAAGAAATGGCCTTTTGAGTCACTTTACCAGTGAAATCATTCCACTGGAAGGTATTTTTTTCTAGGCCAGGAAAGCATCTAAACCTTGACAAGGAGCATACCTGATGCAGCAAGAGTGTTTGTTGACTGCCAGCCAAACAATTTCGAGGGATCAAAGGGAACTAATGACTGAAAAATTAAAAACAAAATACATTGAGGCAGCTTAAGAATTTCCCATCACTGTCCTTTAACTCTCAGTTCTATTTCTCTTATACTGTTGAAAACACTTTAAAATTTAAATATTTTCATTTCTGCAATATTAAACAAGTTTCCCACTGAACACTGCAAGAATATCCCTCCCTGACATTCCAGGGCTGCTCAAGTTAAACACTGCAGACCCACAGCATTTACACACCACTTTAAAATTAAACTGTTCAGAATGAAGCTATAAACTTAAGCTCCAAACTAAGGATTCCAAGGAAACATGGCCCCCACCCTCCTGGCTTTAGCTGAAACAAGCTTCTCTTTACTTTTCTCCTGCCAAAAAGCACTTTGTTACCTGAAGAAGGTGGTAGAGAGAGATGTCAGGTGGCAAAATTCCATGAGCAGTACAGGAGGGAAAGAGAGCAGCCTTGAGTTTGGGGTAAGGGGTCAAGGCCATTTTTAAGAGCTGTGGATCAACTTTCTTTAGAGGTTTTTCTGTATCTTCATTCTGAAGAACCTACATTGCAAGGAAGCAAAGTTAACTAATTAAGAAGAAACTGCACTAAGATAATAACAGAACAATTTCTGAATGTGCCAAACTCCCTCAGGGGAATTTGACATGCAGTGACAACAGAGAAGTACAGGTTTTTTCCCTGTAAAATGCTTTTAAGTTGTATCAGACATATCTGCAACAGCACCTGATGTTTCAGGTGACTGTGCTATGTATCAAAACACCTTTTATGTTGATAAATTCTGTTCCAACACGTGGCTCACTGAGCACTTTTCTATTAAAAGCAGAACTGCTGGTTGCAGAGAAGCTGCTGAGGGCTGTGGTACCTGGTCGATGCCCCCAGGGCAGTACATGGTGGTGGCCAGGGCCAGCAGGGTCCTGCCCTCCAGCAGGATGCTGCTCACACTGGCCTGGTTGCTGGGAATCAGGATCTGAGCGTTCGCCAGACTCGCCTGGAAAATCATCTTCGGATCTTAACAGGAAAAAAAGGGAGATTTAGTTTCAAGCAAATGCAATATTAAATCATTAATCACACATTACAACTGTCCTCCAACTACGAAAAATCCTGAATTTTATACCTTTTGTTGTTAATACTGATTTTTCTCAATTTACTTACAAATACAGACAGGTTGAGCTGAATCTTACCAAGTTTCCCCCAGTTTCAAACCACAGTTTTGCCTACACGGATTAACTGGGGTTGAGCCCCACAGTTAAACACTGTGTTGGTTCAATTCTTTACCCTACACTGATCACACTTTCTAAAAAAAGCTTCACTTGGGCTTATTTCAATCTTTTGTTAATGTGTGACTCTGCAAGAGATGAAATGTTTAAAATGTGCAATGAGTTAAGGGCACAAATTCTACTGATTTGCAATGACAATAACAAAAAAAAGCAAACACATAATCCAAGGGCAGAGAAGTCAAAATGCACCAGAAGGACTAGAGAAAGGTTTCATTTTAGTGAGATGTGCATTTTCTCATGAATCCTCCTTCTGATCAACCTGTTGGGAACATAATAAAATTGGAGGTAATGATGGTCACACACAAAATAATGCTCACATATCTACAGCCTCCAAATCTTTCTGCACAGCTTCAGGAGGAATTATAACCCAAACTTTAGAGCTGGGGAAATGATGAACACGTGAGTGACTTGCCAAGGTCAGCAGAAGGTTTACAGCAGAGCAGAGGATTTAATCCAGCTGTGCCCAACCCTCAGCTGGAGCAGAACTGTGACCCCCTCTGGAGGGAGATTCCTACCTCGGGGATTACTGGCAACCCCTCGGCACTGCACCAGGAATTCAAACCAGGGATGTGCTTCATGCAGCTCCTTGTTATCCAAAATAGGGCAATTGGAAGGGGTTAAGCTGGAAATAAATGAACAGCACAGTGAAAACATGGTATTTGTGCCCACACTCTGCCCCAGTGTAACACAGCATTAAGGACTGGGAGCACCTGACTGGGTGTTAAGCAAACTAAAATTGATTAGATAACAAAAAATGTGTTGTTGACTTTTTTCTGGTCCACTTTTACCTTCTTGATAATTCCAGCGTTAGACTGGAGTTACAGAAATTTTAATTACGAAGCATTCATTAACTACAAAATATTCACACAATTCCAATGCCTAATATTGCTTCCTCCTTCAAATCCCAACTTATGCTAATTTAGATGGAAACCAGCAATCTGTGAATGTATGAAGAATGAACTCACACTTGTGTTCAAGTGACAGTTTCTGAATTCTCTAAATTCTGAGTTTATGAAGAGCAAGTTGTCTTGGCTCATTTTACATTGTATTGCTCGTAGCATTATACTAATTACAACTGTAATTGTTTCCTTTGATGACTGACACACAAATTAATATTAAGACAACCTCAATAAAACTTCAAAATACAGTTTAAAACCTCCCACACTGCTCCACAGATTTTGTTAAGTGGCGCTGCTGTGATCCAGGAGGTCCTTGTCAATAGACAGGAAGGGTTGAGGAAAACTCTTACCAACAACTGTTAAAATTGTGTCTCTTTAAACCCACATGGGGTTTGAGGGATGAAAAGCATTCTTACCTGTAATAGTCCAGGTAGGTGTATAACAAGTACTGCAAATTGTGCTGCAAGCAGTGGAGGACAAACTGAGCATGGAAGTCCAAGCCACTGGCAGAGCTGTATTTTGGGACAGGGTGAGGATTTTGCAGGACTCCCCCAAGGTATGACAGCCTTTGGAGCAGGAGCTCAAAATCTTCCAGCTCAGAACGGACAAAAATTCCCTTTCTGTCAGAAAGCAGAGAAAGCACAGACACTGATCAGACAGTTCTCTTTCCAACACGTTCTGAAGGGTGTTTCCAGCTCAAAATTAAAGCAGACCTTTCCTTCTCAGGGACTAATTCACTGCTGAGGAAAACACAATGTGCCAAAATATGTCTGATGGTGCTCAAACAACACTGTGGTTACTGCAGGTCACTGCAGACAACAAGGGGTGAGGAGGGAAATCCTGTGTGCTCAGAATTCCCACTTGCATTGCAGTGGGCATCGGGAACATAACTACTGGGAAAGATCCAAGGGCTGAGGGAAGATTTCTCCCATTTTCAGTTAACTGAAAGTGCAAGACTAAAATTAAATTTTAATGGATTTGTGCTGTTTCCAAAAAGAGCTCTAAATACAATACAGAAATTAATATGTATCAAAGATTTTATTACCTTCTCCACCCATCTGATTATCCTGATTATTCATACAGGATAGAGAGTTAGTGCAAAGCACTAAGGGCACATACCTGGCCAGCTTGTTGAGGATCTCATGTCTCATGTAGCTGCTGCACAGTGTGTTCTGGTCAACCATGTCTGCAGTCAGAGGGGGCCAGGCAGCTGCTCCACACAGAGCCTGGCTGGGCTCTGACTCCTCAATCCAGGAACAAACACTCAGCCAATCATGCTGGGCTGTCAAGTGCATCCAAAGAACCTCAGGACTGCACGTCTTGAGCTCTGTGTTTCAAAAAGGCAAATGGATGAAATCAGCACAAACAAATGTTGCTGAGGGAAATACTGATATTCCTTTACAAATGGAATTATGGAATGGTTTGGGCTGGAAGGGATCTTAAAGCTCATCTAGTCCCAAGGGCAGGGACACCTTCCACTGTCCCAGGTTGCTCCAAGCCCCGTCCAACCTGGCCTTGGACACTTCCAGGGATCCAGGGGTAGCCACAGCTTCTCTGGGCAACCTGTGCCAGGGTCTCCCCACCCTCACAGGGAAGAATTCCTTCCCAATATCCCACCTAACCCTGCCCTCGGGCAGCGGGAAGCCATTCCCTGTGTCCTCTCACTCCATGCACTGATTTTTAATGAACAGTTGCAAATATGATGCTGAGATGAAGGATATTGTTACAGCTCGTCAGAGCTTTATGTCGGCAAAGCTGGAAGTAACACCAGGTGCAGTGAGCTTGGGAGAACCTGGCAGAGCAGGACCCACTTACAAGTGACCATGCCTTAGGCAAGTCCCTTTCAGCTAGTTCCAAACTTTTCTCTACAGGAAAAACACAGATCCAGGGTGCAGCAAGATAAAACCCCACTGTTAGACCCATTTCACTGCTAAAAAGTGCCCCACTGTGGCACCTCCCACTCTGGTTACAGCAGTGCCAGTCCTATCCCACTGCAGTGTACCATGTCAAGGACAGCTTTCTAGTTCCCAGTTCAAGTCCTTACTCCCAGAACACTTGCCTTGGCGTGGTTTCCTGGGGAGAAGAATCATTTCCTGTGTGGGCTCATCCCACCACTGAGCCCAGTCCAACATGACCCGGAGTCTCCTGCTGGGGGCCCTGTGTCTGTCCCAGCCCAGCACTGAGTCCAGCACTGCTGTGTGGCTGGAGAGCTCCTGGTCCTTCCTCCAGTCACTGAACCTGCAAGGGAGGATGGAATTGGGGTGTTCCTTATTGCTCTTTTAATAAGCAGTCACCAATCTAACAAACAGAAGGTGATGAAAAGGTCAACAAGTTTTGCCAGTCCACTTTGAAGAGCTCTGGAAGTGGCAGAGGGACTGACATGAACTAAAGGTTTGAGAACCAAAGAATTACCTCATTTTCCCAAAACTGACAGAGCAAATAGTAACTATTGCAACATTTTTACAATTATTTAACTGTAAATGGTTTTTCTAGGTGAGTTTAGTTTGCTATATTATGGATGTATCTCAAAACCAGCAAACATTCCATCTGAATGTTTGATTAATAATTCTAATAACATCACTTGCTATTAAAACTGTTTCATTTATGGTGATGACATGAGTAGAAGGGCTCTGTTACCCCAACAAGAGTAAGTCATGACTTGGTTTGGAGAGAACATGACAGCAACTGTTATGTTAATGAGGAAATTACTTCGTCCCCCCACCGACCCTGATTTCTGCAAACAAAGACCAGTGTGAAATTAATGAACTTGAGACTGTATTTGTTAGTGCAGTAAATCACACAGAATGTAGAAGCCAGCACATTTTAAATCCTATTAAAATTATTAATTAATAATTAAAACTGTTAACCCACGTTACCTGGCAAGAGACTGAATCTCTTTATTTTCCTGGAAGGATTCCGAGTAAAAGCTTTCAACCTGATGCACAAAGTCTATCATTTTCTTCTCTTTTTCAGAAAAATAATTTTCTTCCCGTAAAACTTTCACCTTTAATTCAAATTAAAGTATTACCTCCAATTGTCATTTTGATCTACTTTTAATATATTCAAGTTGTAAATGACCCTGCAAGTGCAAACAGTTACCAACTGCAGGAAAAAATGCTGGGAGCAGAGGGCAATACACTTAAATGACAAGAGGACTGCATTCTGTGTGCAAGGACACGAGAACTAGAGCACAGCCACAACAAGGAAATGACATTTTAACCCATTTTTACTTGAACTACAAATATAAAGGAACATGGGCATGGCACTGGCATGTCTCAGTAACTACACTGCCAGGATGCAGGGACAAAACCTGCCTGTCTGTCTGAAAGTGAGTCCAGCACACTGGTTTCCCTCAGCACAAACACACACGAGGTTCAGACCCGAGAGCTGGACAAGAAGAGCCTTTGCTGCACTCACCAGCAGATCTCTGACGTGTTTGTCCTCTGTGTAGAAACAGATCTTGTGCAATTCCTGCTTCACATCCAAGCCCTGGCAGGAAAGGAGACACCCATTGCATGCAAACTGTAAAATGCAGCTGCAGAGGGATGGAATAAATGCACTTGTTTCCCTTCCAAAGCAAGCCTGTGATGTTCCCTTCAGCTCCTGAAGGTGTCACAGTAACCCAGGGATGTGCCTGATGTCTCCAGCACATCTGGGTACAAACCCTGTGCCCTTTAACACCTCACCTGCCAGAACCACCTCCACACTTTGATCATGACATTACCCCCCACAAACAGGCTCCCTCAGCCTTCTGAGGGCACCACTGCTCAAAGCAGCTCTTTCAAACAAGTTAATTTTCACTGCAATACCTGAATTTGGTGGAATCACATCCACAGGACCCCTGAGCTCCCCACACTCCCAGCATTCATTGACTTCATCAGTCTCAAAGTGTGAAGAACCAGAGAACGCCTCTCACCATATTTCTAAGCAGCTCTGAGGCCTCCCTGGTGTTGTCCTTCAGCAGACGGTCATAGACCAGATTCAAACCTGTCTGAATAAATTCCTGCAGGTTCTCAGCAGGATGTTGATGCATTCGGAAGAAGATCTGGGCCTCTGGCATTTTGTTGCTTAAGATGGCCTCAGCAATGACTTCCTAAAGCAGAGAAACAAAGGAACAAACTCAGCTATCATCAGTGTTACTGATCTTTTCTCCAATACTTTAGGACATTTCCACATCAGTGATCTCAGATATACTTAATAAGAATAGTAAAAACTGGATTACTCATTTTTACCTCTGGTGTCAGTTTTTCCCACACATGGCTTTCTTCTATCTCAGGCAGGTCTTCATCCAGATCATCTCCTGTGTGCACTGGATTCATTTGTGGGCGAGGATATTTTCTCAGGAATTTCCTCAGTTGAATAATGTAATCAGTTAGAATATCTGCAGCCTTCTGCAGGAACTCATCGGGTTCTGCCAAGAGCATCCAACATACCAGTTAAACAGGAATGGACAAGATAGGACTTCTGGTGTTTGGAAATGCTGAATGTTCTCCTGACTGATCAACAGGAACTTCACCAGCTCTTTCACCTGCACAGGTACTGCCAGTGCCCAGCACTCTCTGCATCCTGCCAGGACCCAGTCACAGCCCCACCAGTGCTCCCTGCCCTCACTGAGGTGTTTTACCCCTCAGGGACCAGTAAATAAGAACTGAAATTTTTTATTAATCCAACCCATTATTAGTCAGGTAAGTCCCATTTAAAATGCAGGGATGAAAATCTTTCATTCACTCATCTCTGGCACTTCCTTGTGTTAATTCTGGGCAAATGTAAACTTTTAATTAAAAAAAGTTGCTGTTCCCACTTCACTAAATGATAACACATTACCAGATATGACTCAAAAGGAGTATCCTTACCCTCTGTGTGCACAAAGATTTCTTCCAGTTGCCTGGTGAGGAAAGTCAGGGTGAGGTTCAGGAGCTGCTCAGAGAAGTGTTTGCTGTGAGGTTCCATATCATTCTCTTGGATTGCTGAGCAAAGCAAGTTTAAAGCTGGCCTGAGCTCTTCCAAATCTGCAACGGTGACAGACAAAGATAAAACATCTGCACTGTGCCAGAGAGAAAGGCAGTTCAGCTGAAACCCCTGTGCAGCTGCAGGGACTGACTTACTTCTCAGGTAGGTCTGGGATGCACCATCACTGCACTGCCCAGGCCCAGAGCAGGGAGCAGAGAGACTGAAAACACTTTCTTTGCTTTTTAAAAATAAGTCCACTGTGTCCAGCTGGCGATTTTCCAAACCCGCCTAGACAAACATGCAGAAGAACAATCATGCGTGGGTTCTAAATTCTACACGTGTTGTATACTTACTGCTGGTTCTCCTCCCACTTTATAAGAATGGTATAACAAACCCAAAACCTAGTTCCAAGGATTTCTTTTAATATCTGACATTTTGCAAGAGGACAAAAGCTGCTGCAGAAATGCAAATTGTTGAAAATGCTTTAGGGTCCAATCAAGAGGGATTTTTGAGCACTGCTTACTTTAAAATTCTGGTTTATTTTATTAATGGGCATTCACTTAGTTGTGTATTTCTACTTTTGGGTTACTAACCTGCTTCCTTGGGGCTTTATTGTTTATTTAATAACTAAACCACTTCTTTTTGCCCCAGGTTTAAAGTGTACTTCTAATTGTGTCTAAAACCACCATTAGCATTGCATAAGCTGTGTTCATTACTTGAAAGAAGTACTTTTGTTATTTGTAAGACATGAACCAGCTTTCCTTACCTCCAGGGCATGGATGGGAATGGAACATCGCTCCCATCCATTGAGGTGACAAACGGAATCCACGACTCCAGCACTGCCAAACATCATCAGCCTGTTCAAAAACTCCTCTTGGCTCACACCAAACAGAACTAAGGACAGACCACGCTCTGAAGAAGAAAATCAAACCATAATTAAAGATATTAATTATTAAAGCATTTCCATCCACTGCCTCTCTTCCCAAAGGATGACACAAAGCTGCAGCGGCTCTGTCTGGATTTCACCCGAGCAATGCAAGAGCCATGAACCAACAGCAGCCAGGCAGAAAGGAAAGAACACCACCAGAACCCCTCCAAAAGCTGACTGAGAACAAGCCATGAATCCATGAGCCCTCACCTGTGAGCAGCAGGCACAGTGGCACCTCTGCACTGCACTCCACGTAAACACTGTTTGTGCCGAAGTGGGAACATGTCACGTCTTGGGACTCAAAATCCCAGAGAGCAAGAGACAACCCCATGTCCTTTGTCACCACCACAAACACAGCTGTAGCTCCAGTGACCAGTTTACACTCCAGTTTCACCACTTCTTGTGGTGCTCCCCCAGGGATTTGTGTCCACTGGTGTCCTGCAGCCCTGAGGTCTGTGCCGTGGCTCTGCAGGGGTCTGGAGGCTGCCCATGTAACAGCCCGTGGAACAAAGGCCACCATCTTCTCTGGGTCCTCATAAATGTCAGGATCATGATCTTCAAGATGGGTAAAAAACTGATACCAAGGTAAATTCAAGTCATTCCCCAGATCTGGAGAACCTGGTCTTCTCCTTCTTACTCTGTCCCACAGTGAGGACAAGTGTGCCTTCCAGGACCTGGGGAGAAGAGACTAGGTATTACTCCAAGAACAATGCAGATAAAGTTTCCTCAGTTAAATAAAATGCACTTGAAGCTTAGAAAATCCATCCAGCACGTTTTAACCTTAATGTGGCCTGTTTATTTCTATTTAAATGCTCTGTGCAGCCAAGCTGAGTGATCCCAGCTGCATTAGATGACAACATTCATGTTTACCCTTTTTCATAGAAAATTTTCTTTTCCTCACAGAAAATGCCCCCTCAATTAAAAAAATTTAGAATGAAATTAATTCTGGACTTGAGTATTTTATTACATTTACATCAAGTTATAATTAACATGTTTTATCAGTATTAATACCCCTAAGGTTCACAACCAGTTAAAATGTTTTACATGAACACAGAGTATTTTGAAGGCCACACACACTCATTTGTGCTAAACAAGCAAGGAGATGTGAAGTCCTTGGGATACAAAAAATCTGTCAATAGTGTTTAAATGAAAGGTAACCCCTTATCAGCAATTACTGTTTGGTAGCTGTTTAATGACCCATGTAAAGTTCTCTCAGCCCATTTGCAAACATCATCCTCAATTCAAAGTATTTAGAGCAGAATGAGCTGATTTTACTTATCACAATTACAACTGAAAAACCCCCCAGGATTTATGATCAATGATGTAAAGGAAGCAAAGCTCAGCCTGTCCCAGGCAGGGTTTTCCCTCAGTACCTGCCCCAGGCAGGGCTTTCACTCAGTACCTGTCGGTGCGGAAGGGTGAGGGCAGGAGCTCCATGCTGTACTCAGAACTGGCAAGGTCATCCTCATCCACTCCCTCAGGAGGCTCCATGGGAAGACTTTCAGGATCTCTCTTACAGAGCAAATGCTCAGGGAACTGCCTGTAAAGAAATAAATATTAATTTTCACCTCCCTCTTGAGATTTTTTTGCTGTTTAACCCCTCCAGGAACCCTCAGCAAAGCAGGTTCCTCTCAGGTCAACAGCACTCACAGGGAGGTGTCCAGGTGAGCCATCAAACCCTGGTGCTCCTTCCTCTCAACTACAACCTGGCCCTAATTTACCAAGCCAAATCAGCACAGGTGTATCAGGAGTTTAACAATCCCAGACCTCACAGCATCTCTAAAAGGTGCTGCCACCCACCCTTGGCACTGAGAGCACCTATCCTAATCTTCCTAGGAAAAATAGACAATCCAATACAAAGGTTTTCTATTTGTTAACATATTTAATAGATCAATTAAAACAAATAGATGTTAATAGATAAACTTTCTTTTGTTAAAGTGACAGAGTGCAAACTGGAGCAAATAATAAAGGACAATGTTTAAACAAATAGGAAATTTCTGCTCTACCACAGGGCCAGAACTCAAAATAAAAAGGTGACAGCACCTCAACCATTGTAGGACCAAGGTCAGGGACCTGAGGTTAGCTGAACCCAAACTCTTCCTTCAGGAACCCACCATACCTGAAGTAGCTGTTGAGCTCCACGGAGAGGGCACAGTGGGCAGCACTGAGCACCACGGCCACGCTGAAATCCTGGGACACCCTCAGGGCAGTGAGAGGGGATGGCAGGGCTGGGCCCCTGCCCCCAGCCTGCCCCTCTCCCTGCCACAGGGCCACACTGATCCTGCCTAGGCTGGCACCATCAAAAGAGTCAAATATGTCTTTAGACAGCGTCAAGGAAAACCCCAGGGCTCGCAGGCTCCAACAAAGGAGTTACACAGAAGGGGCAGATGGTGAATTTTGGGTAACTTGTGGTCCAGGCCAAGCTCTGTCCCACAGAACATGAGGAGTGTTTGTTTTCCAAGAGCATTCCAAGCTCAGCTGGGATCAGCAGAGGATTGTGCTGCACAAACATGCCACTTGTGCCACCTCAGAGGAGTTAAGTGATACTTGGAGTGACCTGTCCTGGCATTCTGTGGGGAGGAAAAGCTACCCTGAGCTCACTGCACTGTTACAGGGGTCAAATGGCCAGGAAAAGGCACCCTGAGCTC